GGCAATATATCAAGTACAAGCTGAATAGACAGAAGCACACAAGCAATTAAAGAGGATTAATAGAGGTGAGAAACGTACTAATGTGGAATGCCCTGCCACGATAGCAAAAAAGATTCAATAGGAATGGACATCAGATATCATATTACGAAGTCTAATGTACATATTATTATACAAATAAAATTATACCAAAATATAATTTAATATATCATTATATATAATAATAATATATATATATATATATAATATAATAAAAATAATAATATAATAACACAATACTTAAAATTATTACTCACCTTTTTTTGAAATGTTTACAATTTCAAAAAACTTATTTCACGAAAATATTGAGCTTACAATGACAATTTCCACTTTCATTTCAAATATTTTCAACTTATTAATAAGTCAATGTTAAACCTTATCGAATATCAAGGAATGAAGTAGGCCGCAGAAGAAAACCATACGTGATAGAATGAGAACAAACTTTTCAAACTCTAACGGAAGCTATGTTTTCTTGAAAAACCAATGTCATTTATACATAAAATATACATAAAATATAAATTATGAAATTCCGATGGCTGAACTGGAACAGATACTCTGTTTGTGTGAAACATAATCAGGATAAATTCAACTTTCAAAATGAGGCATCATAACCTTCTTAAGTGATCACCTCACAGGTCTCAATGCACAAATTAAATGTTTTGAGTTGTTATTTCTGTTGAGCAATTCTTTCAAGATTCGAGTTTCTTCAGAAGGGGGTCGCTATCTGCATGACCAAACTTCCTGCTCCCCTTGTTCGGTAGTTTTCAAACATCCAGTGTACATAAATTGATTTCACCCTCTTCGCACAAGTAAACGACAGCAGCTAAGTATATAAGGCATTGATGTTTGATTCAAACCATTCTGGTTCGGAGTATCGCAGTTAAAATCAACTCTGCGATGTGACAGGTACGCCCAGTTCATAATAAGACTAAATTTGCGAAATAATTAAATAGCTTTTTGTTACATCAGACAAAATATATCAACCGATTATGGAGGAAACTCTTGACATCGTTCAGTGGAAATATAAAGAAAATTACACAATTTCAGTCAGTACGCACAATGGTAATACGATAGCAGCAATAATGTTATTATGATCATTGTGACAGTGACTAGTTTAGTTGAAACGTATCCGTTATGTAGTCCTATCCAACAGTAAGAATCAGCGATGATTGTACGATGTGAAGCAAAACATGAACACTAATAAATATCAACTCAATGAATCCGAAATGAGGTTCCTTATCAGAGACTGAAATGTCATCAGTTTGATCTCCAATCTATCTGTCTTAAAGTGGTGAATAACGAAGTGCATTTACTTATGTTAACGACGAAGTTAAACAGTCTTCAAAAGATAACTTATTACAGATTTACATGGTTACGACTTAAAAAAATTGTGGACTATTTCAGGGTAAGTAATGTCTGCAGATGACGATGACTTGTTTATTGCACAGAAAAATATTAGCACTGGATTGAACTTGAACACAATATTAGTAATATTAGTAGTGAGAATAGTAGAAGCAGTAGAATTTGTAACTGTCAGAAGTAGTGATATTAGTAGCTGCAATCGTAGCTGTAGTAGTTGTTGGAGTTTTTACCTCAGTTTATTGTAGCATTGTTCTCACAGTTGTACCCTATCCAAAAGTATGTCAATATCTAATGTCATTATTGTTGTTTAAGGGAAATTAAAACTCAGTTTATATTGACAATAAAGTGTGTGTACTTTAAAATGCAAATTATTCGCAATCCACTATTTGTGTTGTAAAACAAATACATTTTCAGTGTAAACAATAAATTTACAAT